ATTAAAGAGGCACTTTGACAGGTTCTTGTAAGAAGTGCTGGACCAACTAGTGTATATCTGAGCCTGCGGGGCCGCTCCAAGCAATAGCCTGTTGGACAAAGTTATCACAAGTCGGACTTGGAGTAGAACTCCCGAAACCCTCTCCAGGTATGCTCCAGGAGTCATTCCTGTGTCTGCTGATGATGCAAAAAATACGAGGATTAAGACAGAGGCTATAAGAAGACCTGGACAAACTGAAAGAATGGTGCTACAAATGGCAACTAGAATTTACCCCGAGTAAATGTATGGTAATGAAACTAGGTGGAGGGAGCAGGAGGCTGGACATAAGGGTACCATATGAGATGATATCCCTCGTGATTCCTTTAAGTTGATATCACGCCAAACCCGTCTCGTCAGTAGCATTTGTTGGGCTAGCCGACATCAGAACTGCCTTCACAAATTTGAGTGAGGAATCATTCAGAACCTTGTATTTCACATGTCGGGCTAATCCTGGCGCATTCGGCTCCAGTCCACATCTAGCCACTCGAGACGAAATTGCAGAAGGTTCAAGGTTACACCATCGACTAGTCCCAGAAATAAGAGGTATAAGTTCCAAGTAAAGGTTACATGAATTGAATCTCATTCAGAGTAGTTAGCAAAGGGCCTCCACCACTATCACCACCACACCACCTCCACTCCACTGAAACCAGACTTCAGGAGAGGACATTATGGTGACCTTAGAAATTTTTTTAGTGAGTATAATTGGACAGACTTGATGCTAGGCAAGGAAGTGAATGAGATGTATGGCAAGTTTTGTGAAATATATGATAAAGGCACAAAAAAATTTATACCAAAACAGAGATGCAGGACCAGAAAACAGGATTGGTTCGACAGAAATTGTGAGAGGGCAAGAGACCAAAAGACACAAAAATGGAATCAGTATAGGAAGAGGCCAAACCCCCAAACATACCAGCGATACAAAGATGCGAGAAACAATTATACAGCAGTAAGGAGAGAGGCAGAAAGAAATTTTGAAAAAGGGATAGCAGATAAATGTAAAACAGAACCGGGCCTATTCTACAAATTCATAAACAACAAATTGCAGGTAAAGGATAATATCCAGAGGTTGGAAATGGGAAACAGATTCACGGAAAATGAAAAGGAAATGTGTGAAACATTAAATGAAAAGTTCCAAAGTGTGTTTGTACAAAATGAAATCTTCAGAGAACCAGACACAATAAGAATTCCAGAGAACAACATAGAGCGGATAGAGGTGTCTAGAGATGAAGTGGAAAATATGCTAAAGGAGCTCGGGAGGAACAAAGCAGCTGGACCAGATGGCGTTTCACCATGGGTTCTGAGAGAATGTGCATCTGAGCTCAGCATTCCACTTCACCTGATCTTTCAGGCATCCCTGTGTACAGGAATCGTAGCAGACGTGTGGAAACAGGCTAACATAGTTCCAATCTACAAAAGTGGCAGCAGGGAAGACCCCCTCAATTATAGACCTGTATCATTGACAAGTGTAATAGTGAAAGTATTGGAAAAGCTAATCAAAACTAAATGGGTAGAACACCTGGAGAGAAATGATATAATATCAGACAGACAGTATGGTTTTCGATCAGGAAGATCCTGTGTATCGAATTTACTCAGTTTCTATGATCGGGCCACAGAGATATTACAGGAAAGAGATGGCTGGGTTGACTGCATCTATCTGGACCTAAAAAAGGCTTTCGACAGAGTTCCACATAAGAGGTTGTTCTGGAAACTGGAAAATATTGGAGGGGTGACAGGTAAGCTTCTATCATGGATGAAAAATTTTCTGACTGATAGAAAAATGAGGGCAGTAATCAGAGGCAATGTATCGGAATGGAGAAATGTCACAAGTGGAGTACCACAGGGTTCAGTTCTTGCACCAGTGATGTTTATTGTGTACATAAATGATCTACCAGTTGGTATACAGAATTATATGAACATGTTTGCTGATGATGCTAAGATAATAGGAAGGATAAGAAATTTAGATGATTGTCATGCCCTTCAAGAAGACCTGGACAAAATAAGTATATGGAGCACCACTTGGCAAATGGAATTTAATGTTAATAAATGTCATGTTATGGAATGTGGAATAGGAGAACATAGACCCCACACAACCTATATATTATGTGAGAAATCTTTAAAGAATTCTGATAAAGAAAGAGATCTAGGAGTGGTTCTAGATAGAAAACTATCACCTGAGGACCACATTAAGAATATTGTGCAAGGAGCCTATGCAATGCTTTCTAACTTCAGAATTGCATTTAAATACATGGATGGCGATATACTAAAGAAGTTGTTCATGACTTTTGTTAGGCCAAAGCTAGAATATGCAGCTGTTGTGTGGTGCCCATATCTTAAGAAGCACATCAACAAACTGGAAAAGGTGCAAAGACATGCTACTAAGTGGCTCCCAGAACTGAAGGGCAAGAGCTACGAGGAGAGGTTAGAAGCATTAAATATGCCAAAACTAGAAGACAGAAGAAAAAGAGGTGATATGATCACTACGTACAAAATAGTAACAGGAATTGATAAAATCGACAGGGAAGACTTCCTGAGACCTGGAACTTCAAGAACAAGAGGCCATAGATTTAAACTAGCTAAACACAGATGCCGAAGAAATATAAGAAAATTCACCTTCGCAAATAGAGTGGTAGACGGTTGGAATAAGTTAAGTGAGAAGGTGGTGGAGGCCAAGACCGTCAGTAGTTTCAAAGCGTTATATGACAAAGAGTGCTGGGAAGACGGGACACCACGAGCGTAGCTCTCATCCTGTAACTACACTTAGGTAATTACACTTAGGTAATTACTATGATGTGGTGGAGGCAGACTCGGTGCAGTTTCAAATATAGATATGAGAGAGCCCAATAGATGCAGGAACCTGTATAACAGTTGGACAGTTGTGGGGTGGGATTAGAGCCAAAGCTCATCCCTTGTAAGCACAATTAGGCAAGGAATACTACTATGTGCTGATACAATTCAAGTTAAGGTAATTGTCAGGACAAAATGCCAAGGCAGTATGACTAGCACTTAAAGGGGTTATGAGTCATACACTAGGCCTTATTTTGGTTTAAAAGCCGATTAATTTTAGATTTTTATATTCTTTACTTCCTATACAGTATTTCAAAATATATAGTATAAATGTGAGAAGATTGCACTCAATACAACTCTGATGTCACTTCTATTATGTGATGATTCTTAAGACAATGGGGACAAGTGAGGTGTAATCCAACTGGCTACTAACACTGAAAAATACAGGCATAATTTTCTGTGATTAGGTCAGCTTGTCAAGCACTTTAAAACACAACATAATAGATGCCAAGAATATTTTAACATTCACCAAAAACATAACTGATACACAGAGCAAGAGTTCCAGACTGAATATTGTGTTGATTTTTCATTTATTTTATTGTTGCTCATTGTTATTATTAGTGATATTAATGTGATAATTACTGCAGTGCGGTATTTTTATTCCATAATTCACTTACATGCTTAATGCTACTGTATGTCCATGCTTATGATATACTGTACTGTACATTGCCACTATGCACACACAATTTGTTAGAGACAAAAGAAACTAAATGGGAGCATAAACCAATATAAGTATTACATTTTCTTTGCCTAAAGTTTCAGAGGGAATATGGGATTATTGTGATTGTTGGCATCTTCCAGTACAGTTCAAATACTGTACAGTATGTGGTGTATGCTAATAATAATATCCAGGTTCTGAATTGTAACTTACCTGGCATGCACAAACCATATAATTTATATATTTGTTTGATTTTTTAAACTGCTAGTTTCTGATTTTGTTTCACTTGTTGGTGTGTGTGGTAATGACCAGGTTAGTACATACCGGTACTCCTGTATATATTTCCCCAGAGTCTAGCAGTCAACACAATGATAAATTACTATTACACATAACTGAGCAAAATAAATTCTAATTCTAAGAGTAATAAGAAATACTAAACTGTATTCAGAATTAAATCTTATAGCAAACCTGAGTACAGTACTTACTGTTCATTGCTGGATACAAAAAAAATTCTCTTGGAGGTCCCGACAGATTAAAGGAGTCGTCGAGCACAGTAGTCATGACAACATCATCACTACATATAAGAGGGCAAACAGTCAAGTGGTACTGTAATCCAGTAACATGGATAATAGTAAAATGTAGCAGATTCACCAGTTGAGCGAGTTACTAAAGACCACTCTTCATACACTATACAAGGCTCATGAAAACAATATACTGTATAACAGTGTGTACTTTAAATGTACAATACAGCAGAGTCTATAGGAAAGAAATTATGATAGACTATCGGAGCCCATATTCTGTACATTGTCCTTTACTCGGTCTTTCTAGTTGTTTGGGCTTGGGGTTTATGGGTGGTCCATCTGGGTTTTGGCCTTTGGCTCTATCTTGGGCATCCCTATGGTTCGTCATGCTTTTGTTGCATTTTGGTGTATGGTACACTGTGAGTGTCCATTTTCCCTGGGCCCCTCATCTTCTGCCTTCTTCCATGGTTAAATCCCAGCTACGTTTTTCCATTTCCCGATTTGTTTTTTAACAATTGCAAAGCTCCTTTGCCTAGATGCCATGCTGTGAATTAACTTTTAGATCTCCTGAGGGTTCCATCCCATAAACCAATCGTTGATTGTAATACAATGGCCTTCTTCCCATCCTGTTCTTTTCTTTTCCATGGATGGAGGGGTTCAGTCCTGGTGGCTTGTGAGAGAGCAGAATTGCTGCTGCCTTAGGTGACACGGGTTGTCATCTGGTGGAATTGGACGCATTTCGGTTGGGGAGTTTTCAACGATGGCAATGATCGTATGCCTCATTACCTTCAGAACTCTAATTTTCTTCAAGCAGTTACATGTTTTGATGAGAGAATGCTTTTCAGTTTTTTCATGCTTCTTTTTCAGCATAAATGCTTACCAAGCAATTGCCATCAATTTCAATGTTGCTGTTAAGGTAATGAAAATAAAACAAGGTACAAGTTTGTATTTCTCTTATTCATTCAGTCCTTCACATTCAAAACACATTCAGTCTTTTGTATATTATGTTGATATTAAATTATAATTTTGTCATCAAAACTGTAATAAAAACTATTACTATAAAACAATCTTGTTTGAAAGATCACTCAAGCATGTCTAATTACTGGAACTAAGGAAAGCAAACTGGCCCTTAGAACATCTGTTAGCGAAGTGTCCTTGCTGACCACACTGAAAAAGAAAATGATTTAGGTCAATACCTTTTGTAACTAAAAGCTGAACAACAAATTTTATAATACTACTTAGGACACAATACAAATATGTAAATAGCCGACAGCACTTAACTGTTTAATTAAAAATAAATGTTACAGTAAGATTAATATTGTTTCTCTTATATCCCCCTCCCACACACACAAAAAAACAAAAAAACTGAAGCTTTGCAACCCAAGACAGTCATTTGAACATCTAATTCAATGACATTTCCAATTTTTTTCATTTTGACAAACAACCTTTGACAATTTTCACTTCTCAACTATACAGTACAGTACTTCACAAAAGTATTCAGATGGTTTAGCAACTCTCCAGTTTACATAACCTTACATGGGCTACCTCTTCCCTTTTATGTATTCATTCTTTTCATCACCTCATCAATTAGTATATATATGACAAGTCTGTTGCCTCACAACACCCAGCACATATATGTTGGATACACTCGGTATTCTCTCAATAAATTATATATCTGCAGAAAGTGTATGAATGACAGTACTGTATTCTTTCCAAGCTATTTAATTTTTAATGCATTTTTATTTTGCATTGGTATAGGATGACATATAAAAGTGAAAGTGTACTTATTTTATTTATTTATTTATTTATACAAGAGTTCTTACATTCTTGTAAAGCCACTAGCACGCATAGCATTTCAAGCAGGTCCTTAATCTTAATTTTTCCTAGGAATATGACCCGCCAAATCATTTAACAATCAGGTACCCATTCACTGCTGGGTGATCAGAGGCTACAGTTAAGGAATGGCACCCAGTCAATCCTCCCCGGCCAGGAAACGAATCCAGACCAAAGCACTCGCAAAGTGCCGGGCGAGTGCTTTACCACTACACCACGGAACCTGCTAAACTCCTTGTCCACTAGACAATTACCCAGTATACAGTATCTTTATGCTCAATCATTAGATCTCAACATCAATAAAAGTTTTATTCGTTCAAATTTGGCATTACCAATTTTAAAAGATTTTAATTCATCATGCACTTATGGTTCTTTCCTAATTTTACAACTGAATTGTTCCTTGAGAATTTGAATGGCACAGCACTATGGAAATCAAAAGATGCGTTCTTTCATGTCTTTTCCAACCCCACTGCATTTTTTTACTCATCTCTCAAGGCACTTCAGAGGAATGAAAAAGTTGTAACTACAATATATAAAACAAAACTTAAATCATAAGACAAAAGACAAAAACATTCATCATATCTCAAAAGAAATTAAAAAGCTGGTAAATCCAATCCAAAAGTTGCAAATGGGATAATGATCATGCGTATGCTATTTAACTGAACTTGCAGCTCTCCGTACCTTGAAGCAAATGACATTATCCAAACGATTGTTATCCATTTGGTGCATTGGGGGCGGGCCTGAATTTTCTTTGCCTGGTTGGTTCCTTGGCCCACCTGAAGCCAAACTCTGAAAAAAAAAATATATATATTATGAGATTACCTTGGTTACTGTCGGTTGATTTTGGGACTTAGCATCCCCGCGGTCTGGTCGTCAACCAGGCCTCCCAAGACTAGAGAATAGCTAGTTGATAGATTTGTTGATACAGTGCTGTCATATAAAGCCTATCCATGGGCTGCATGAGCTCCAAGACCAGTACAGTAGTGTTCTTTAAAAGAAGTTATTTTACTTTTTATTATCTTAAAGTATAGGGACATTTTCTTTTTAATTTCATTTTTTTTAACAATCATTCATGATATGTCTACATGTCAATAATATTTGTGCTCATTAAGTAAGTTGACAAGTACTTGTCTCAACAGGCAGTGAGACAAGATGAGAAGGGAATTACCAGAAAGATAGAAAAAGTAGAGATATATTGGGTGTTACGGACCCGAGTCCAGCGTCCGAGCCCGGAGCAGTGACGACCACGCCATCTGTGGGTCAGCTCCCGAAACCCCCTCCAAATGGACGACGCCATCTAGTGAGGACGAGATATACTGGCCACAAGGGCTAGTTTCCCGTCCTGATCAGCTCATAACACAGCCGCTGCTGACCTCTGGTGAGGTGGAGCTTAGACAGCAATGCCATCTATGGAGTGGATAGGTGGGCGTTTGTGTCTAAGCCTGTAAGTGAGGTGCCCCAGAGTGTAACCGGTACTGATGACGTGTCTGATTACAGAGTCGACCTGGGATTGCTGTAATGAACGTTGGATCAGTCTACCCAAGGCAGCCGTAGAACCTACACGCATTTGCCGCTGAAACTGTGAGTCACCCCCCGGATGAACACTGTTGTATTAGCCTGCCTGCGAGGTGGCAGATCCAGGGATTGTTGTACCCGGGGCTGACTGGTGGAGAAGACTAGCCACTGGGGTGTTGTAGTGAGGAGAGTGATCTGTGGAATCACACGAGGCTCCTGCCTAGGGCTCGCAACCCTAGTATCGGTCGTGGAGTGGCCTAACCTGCGGAACTGATTGGAACCTGCCAGCTATAGGCTGGATTTGTGGTTGACGGCCTCCATGACGGTGCACCGAGTGGGACGGTGATTTGGCTGGCCTGTGGCCAGGGTAGACTCGTTACGAGAATCTAAGGATTAATCGAGAGGCCACAAGGGGACCAAGGGCTAAGCATCGTTGAGCACCGTGGAACACTCCGCGTCTTCAGAAGAAGACCACATTGTATATTCTAGTGTTTATACCCCCCCCCCCCCCCGTGTGATAATTTATATATTTATTTATGGTGATGGTAATTATATATTTAATTTGGTAAAGTTTTATCCCTTCCCCTTTAATTTACTTGCGTTACGGAACGCACCTCTTGAAAGCCACTACAGTACTAACTTGGGGCCGGATACCCAAACTCTACTAACATCAGAGAAAGAACCCAGTTGCGACCCAATAGGGCCGTAACAGGGACACAGAGAATAATAGTAAAGTACCATAATTAAGAGCCCGAAGTGAGCATGCCAGAATCATCAGTATAGAACAACAACAATTAAAAATCCACATGGTGTCAAAAAAAAAAAAATAAACCAGGTAATGCTGCTGCATGGTCACAAGTGGATGAAAACATCAGCTTTACTCAAGATCATGTGATCAGGCGGAGGAAACAAAGAAGAATCATCTAGGAAAACAACGAGTGTGAGGAACATGACAAAGAGTTCCAGGAGGGCTAGGCAACAGAGCCAGAGTGGAGACTAAAGGTGGAAGACATGAAAGCAAGAAGCAATACAGACAGTACAGTAGCTGCAGGGGCACTTTGTTACCCACAAACTATAATTTAAATACTGTATAGCACTAAGAGACTGGAGATGGAGAAACGACAACGTTTGGTTACTTGATAATGGTCAAGGACGGACCGAAACGTTGTCATTTCTCCATCTTCTAATGTGTGGTTTGGTCATCATATCTTCAGCCACGATATTGTGACTCATCATCTGCAAAAAGAGACTGGAGGATAACATAAATATGGAGTAAGTTAAATGTAGCTCTAATATTCAAGAAAAGGGACCGATACAAAGCACAGAACTATAGACTAGTGTCACTACCATGCATTCCTTACAAAATTCTAAAAAAGCCAATTAAAAAAATAGCCTAACATTTTTTTTTTTGAGATATATAAAAGAGTTGTTACATTCTTGTACAACCACTAGTACGCGTAGCGTTTCGGGCAGGTCCCTGGAATACGATCCCCGCCGCGAAGAATCGTTTTTACAACCAAGTACCCATTTTACTGTTGAGTTAAACAGAGGCTACAGTTAAGGATTTGTGCCCAGTAAATCCTCCCCAGCCAGAATACGAACCCATGACAAAGCCCTCGCGGAACGCCAGGCGAGTGTCTTACAACTACACCACGGAGACTGGAAATGTGATAAAGAGTTCATATGACAGAACACCCAACCCACAAATCTGAAAGTAAAGGAATTGGTGACGTTTTGAGTCATCCCGGACCACTATCAAGTTGTCTAATGACAAAAAAAAGAGGCAAAGTGGACTGCATTTTCTTAAGACCAGCGTTGAATGTAATGAAACGCCATTTTCTGGGTAGAGCCCCCGGAGGCACCCTGGAGCTATTCGACTAATATTAGCTAATATTAGTACAGGATTTCAGTCATATGGAGTTGTCATGCCTACTGGCCAGAATATGGTCTCCTCAGAGAGGCAAAGGAAGCAATGGCCTATGAAACTTAGATGTATGAAAATATTCATGTCAGCCATCGACCGGGGTTGAGCACCCAGAAAGGTAGGCGCTTCAAAGCAGACCCCTCCTGGTAGAAATATTGCAACCTGAGACTGAACAGAGGCGAGAACCCCCCCCCTAAACAAAAACAAGCAAACGAGCAATACGCCATCACACCGTGTGCCACTCATTCACGCCACCCCCACCCCCTCACCCCTTGAAGGGGGAGAGGGGGTCCCAGCCCATCGAGCCATCAGCCGAATCGTCAGTTTGTCGGCTGAAGCTATACGGGGTGGACGCCTGCTCTGGCCTCGAGTGGCACACAGTGTGATGACATGTTGCTTGTTTACTTGGTGTCAGGCTACAGGGTTGTAAAAGCATGGGTCCTCTCAAAGCTCAGTCCTAGGCCTGTCACTATTCCTGATCTCTGTGAATGACCTAACCTAGGGATGGAGCTCAATAAATGCTCATGTTTGCAGAAAATGCAAAGCTAATGAAAAAAAAAAAGATGAGTAGATAACTGCAGTAAAGTCTTGACAAGCTCTAGGAATATGTGACAAATAGCTACTTGAGTTCAACTCCCAACAAGGTAATGTAATGCAGATTAGAAAGGGTATAAGACTAGAAGGAATCAAAATCGTAACATAAACATAACTACAGAAATAGGAAAAGGAAAGAGTAAAAGTGGGTATAATTCCAATACTAACACCAGAGGCACACATAAGCAGGATAACATTGGCAACACAAGGGAAGTTGGCAATCATAAAAACATTGAAAATCTAAACATGGACTCTTCAAGACAAATCTATGCAACCTAATTGAGACCAACACTAAAAGCAAAAAGAAAAACGTTAGTTTTTATTTTTGCTTTTAGTATTGCTAGAAGGACAAGAAGAAAATGCTTAAGAGCAGAATGGTCATCAAACCAGCATCCTGGGTAACCTCAGATGTGTGCCTTAACCCAAGGACCATGATATGCTAAAGGTTACACAACCTGGGATCTACCTGGATCAACTAGGAATCTGGAGGCACGAAGCTGGTAGTCAATCTAAGTACAGTATCCAAGTTTTACATGCAACCCCCAACTACTCTGGTGAATGTAATGGATTTCTCCACCAAATGTTCCCTTCAAATACACCATGAAACAACAATCACTGCTGGTATAACTAAATACAGACTACAGCATTAATAGTATTATTATTAACTGCATTATTAAAGATACAGTATTAACTGTAAAATGTTATCAATGTGTCCTTACTTACAACTTTTTTTTACTCTGAATCTTAAAGACTACTTACAATGATTGCATTTTGCTCCCTTAGTTCTGGATTAGCTTTGTAGCAGTGTGATGCTTTGTGTCCAGCTTCTCCACAGTAATGACAAGTGATCCCCTGTTTTTTATGAGGCAATTGTTTGTCTTCCATTATCTGTGGCAACTCAAATCTTGGGCTGCAAATTACATGATAATTAAACCAATCAAATATGGCTAAAGGCTTATCATTTACATGGAACATATTAATAAATAAGAGATAAAGTGGTAACTCGTATAATAAACACAAGTACAATATTTTAAGGTGAAGTCCCTTACCTGTTTGTATAAATTGCATCTTACCAATCAGAGATGCAACAGAGGATACAAGAGAAATATATGGAAAAGTTGGCAATTTTTTTTATGTAGCACCATGAGAGAACACAAAATTAACACCTCATATCTGAAACTTTTTAATGTATGGCCAGTAGAGTAAGTTTAAAATGTATTGGTATGAAAGTTTATACTTCCAAGATGGAATTTAACACTATTCTTCAGAAGATTTCTTATCAGCTAAGTTATAATGGGTACAATCATGTAGAATTGCAAGCATAAACATCCTCATTTATCAAGCAGTTGTCAGGAAAGTCTGACATCAAATTAGGCTGCCTGAGTAACAAAAAAAAATAAAATGTCTATTAGTAGTTAACATAGAAATGGGCTTGAAAGACCCATTTCATGAAAACAAAAACTTTTTTACATAACATAAACAAATCTAACACGTACTGCATAAATTTGCAACCTGATCCATCTGGACAGAAGCCCGAGAAATAATTCATGCAGAGGACTCGTCGTACATGACGATTGCGACACTGAGGACCATGACGGCAAAATCCTCTATCATACCACGGACAGTCTTTCATTTTCATATCTGGGTTTATGTGTAGGAAAGGACACTCCTTATTGTGACAGGCATCTGTGGAGGAAAATTATATAAAAAATAAATGTCATGACTTCCAAAAATTATAATGAGTGAAGGAAAATGAATTTATGCTTAGGTTTATGTTTCACTAAAGAGACAGAAGAGGTGACTCTTTTTCTTTTTCTTTTAATCTGTCTTCCTTGGTTTCCTGTTTCAAGGCTCATGTTTCTCAGGTCATCCACAGTGATATCGATTCTAGCCAGCCTGTGGTCTACCCTCATGACCATGATGTTTGTATGCTGCTCTTGTAGTGGTCTTTGCTAACATGTCCTGGGCTGATATTCAGACACGGGGTTTAGGTGGTCGAACACCTAAACCATTAATTACCTAATGTCCCCAGCCTTGCCATGCCTGTGTTGTCTTAGGCTGTCCCTTGTCCAGTTCTATGCTTTGTCTTGATTACCTGCCATCTCTCCTCGATGGTAAGCCCCTTGTGTTTCTTCTCCATGGGTAGTTAGCTTCAGGGACCCACAAGGGTCTCTCTCTCTCCCCAAAAAACAGCCCCTGGCTCCCTGATTCCCTCCCTCCCTTCCAGATTCGTAGGTTGGTGTTTGTGGTCTTTACATCTGCTCCAAAACTGGCATGGAAGGCTGCAAAGACCTGGAGCTTCAGCCTCCTCCTTTACTGGTGGAAGATGATTGCTAATGAGCTCACAATAGTATCGAGAGATTCATCCCCTTTGTTTATAATGTTTAGGGAGTTCGTTTGACAGTTTTGAGCCTTCGGTCCTTTTGAACCCAGCAGGGATCTGTATTAATTCACTTTCTGGATGATTCCCAGTGGGGGAGGGGGGGATGTCACCAGTCCCCTGCATCTCTGAGGGGGGCAGGTTTTGGCTATGGTCCCCAGTAGGCCAAACAGAACTCTGTGGATGATGTGACCTAGTAGATGGGAGCCATCTAAGTGAGATAGCTTCAGGAATCCACCAGGGCTCGTCCAGGCATTTCAGTACATTCAATGGTGGTTTTTGCATGCTGCTTGAATTCTATGATATATAGTGACCTAATATATTAACCATTTGTAGCCTAGACAAAAACGATGACAAATGGAATGAGGACTAAGCTGATTTGTCTAAAACTGTGACTCCAGAGTCAAATATATTTGAGGGATGAATCATATCTGCATTCCCCTACTCCACTTAAAATAGTCATGGTATATAGACTATTACTCCACTTAATCAAATGGTATGTATGGTATTCTAATTACAACCAAATGGTATGTATGGTATTCTAATTACAACATCCAAGTGGTATGTACTCTACATACAGAATATTAATTAAAGCAACATGTGAAGGTTTTTTACATCAGTTAAAACCTTCTTACAAGATCTTGTGGAGAGGTCCAGATATATTTTTGAGTAATTAAGCAATGTACCATTTCAAGGATATTAAAAAGAAGATGCAAATACATTAGAGAAAATAAGTTGCAAAGTTACAGATAATACTTACTGAAACGAGAGTAGAAGTAGCATTCTGGCATTTTTGACATATCATACTCGTGGAGAAATTCACACTGGTCACCCTTTTTGCACAATCCACGAAGCCAATGCTTGCAAACCACAGTCCTGTCTCCGCGGACATGACGGAAGGGACAGTTGACACTTTTGCTGCAGTTCCCACGCATGTAAAATGTGCACACTGCAGCTATTGATTCTGAAAAAAATTAAGAATTAATTGGACAGCTTCCCAAATAAACAATCACAAATTTCTAATCTAATTTGTGATTTGAAAAATAATCTATCATAAGATAGCTGCACTTTTTATTTTCTGTATACTAACCATTCACCACCATTACCTCTCTGCATACTGAATGCAATGGAGCAGGTAAGGACTCACATCAGTAAATCCTTCAGCATCTTTGTGAGATTCTAATTCAAGTGATATGATTTATGACCCCTCACCCTTCTTTTAGAATACTGTAGAGTAAAAGTAAAATGAAAGGTGAAAGATTGATTAAACACAGGCTGCCACGGCATCTATGGCAAGCTGAAGGATTTCATACTTAGGGATACTTAAAAAATGTAAAGAAGAGATAGTGAGACTTTGTCTTGCATATTAAATAAGTCCTTAGAGATTGAGCAGAGTACCCAGAGTAGTGGAGGGTTGCAAATTTTGTGCCAATATTAAAAAATGGAGAGATACTTGTGTCGAACTATTATTTAAATAGCTTTATGTGTATTGTTGGAAAATTGCTCAAATCAACAACTGCAAATGTCATTTGTTTGTATCTTGAAAAACATAGATTAATAGTGTGTTGGCAACATGTTTTTACTCGGGGCTGCTCATGTTTAACTAATTTACCTTTGCCCTTTTTCTGGTATGTTTCAAGCAGTTGATAGTGAGAAGGATTGTGACATTCATTAAAAGAAATAAACTTTTCCATCCACCTTACACTACCATAAAGTCAGCTAACACTATGCATCATTCAGTTCACCATGTAGTGAAGAAAAACAACAGCAGTTACTTCCTTAAAAAATGCAGTAGTAATAAGTTACCCACAATCATTACCAAATAAATCAACAATCTTCATTATTTTACATTTATTATAGCAATTTTTTGGCTCTATGCAAACATATTACAGTATTTTGCTATCAAAACCTAATAAAAATTTTGCAATATTTTCAGATTGATTATTTTGCCCCAATTTTTTTTATTACTTTAGAGTATAATTGTATATTTACCCTATATTATCTATACTGTATCATGATTTAGAAAACTAAGTAGGGTCTGTAAAACTTCAAGATATTTTACGTAACTGTTAATTTCTATATAATTAGTGACTACAACTAAGTGACCACTTTATCACATCAGTGATAAATATGATCATTGTTTAGTGTTTACATTTAATGATTAAATAATTGGTGTGGAACCTAGACAGGAATGTTTTGTTTATATGCCACAATGCTTAACCAATGTACTGAGTATTAATTATAAGCAATGTATTAAACGTAACCAAGTTTGTTTTATCCATCCTAACTTAGATTATCATATTTGATTTTCTTTATTGTAGTATTATAATACATGGATATTATAATACTTCAAGGATATATCTTAAGCAACCCAATATTTTAATTGGTTTTGGTAAGAACTGCTCACATTTAGCAATTTCACTATTGAAGTAGCTCGTTCTCAGAAACTTACATGCAATATTCACAGCCTGGGCATTCCATGACACATCACAGTTTACTAATGCCAGACTGTTGTACAGAATATACTCATCCCTTCACAGACATCAAATTAAGTACATAGAAAATTTAACTACCAAATGATACAGTGAAAAAACAGAACATTACAAATATGTATTTCAACAGCTTCAATATAATTTGGCTCTTTAAACATAAATTTTATCCAAATAAAACTATACTGCAAATAAACATTTATAGCAAAGTGCCCCTTTTCCAGTAGCAACGTTCAGAGACGACGACTTAGAGTGGTAATTTTCTTCACTACCATTTCTCACACTATTGAGTCCAATTTTATTTTTAAAATTCATTTTGAATAAGATTTTATATTTTGTAAAAAGCTTTGTATGCGTACACTATACAATAAGTTTCACATATTTTTAATGCATATCAAAGAAACTAGTTCAGACTAAAAAAAACTTTTCTGTAAACTGTCTGTTGGGTCAAGCCATTTCCTTTACAACTTCTTACCATTTACCCACAATTCTTCACTTTATGTACATTATAGATATTGTTGAATTTATTTTAGACAGCCCAGGGTTTAAAATATAGCAGGCTACTATGGATATTCTTACATGTGACCAGAAACTGCATGACTAGGCACGTCAACTTTTGAACCTGTCTCTCCACACCAAATGACAATTTAGAGGACGATTCAAAGAGCAGGAAGGAAGGAAGGAAACTTTCAGGTGGAAAGCGCCAAGCTATTACGACTATATAGCACTTGGAAGAGGGTCAGGATAAGGATTTGGGATGGGACGGGGGAGAAGGAATGGTGCCCAACCATTTGGACGGTCGGGGATTGAACGCCGACCTGCGTGAAGCGAGACCGTCGCCCTATCGTCCAGCCCAAGTGGTTGGTCATCAAAGAGCAGGAGAAAACTTATAATAAAATAAAGGCCTCGAGGGAGACGCAAGGCGTCCAGAATACTCACTGTCCATGCCAGGGAAGGGCAGCATTTGTGCCCCCACTTGCTCCTCCAGCTGTGTCTCTATATCGAAGGTTATCTTGTCCACGTTTGCTACAATTACCTCCATCATCGAATTAGCTTAACGTTCAAAGAACGATCCGGTCTAAAAGGCAAGCAAGAAATAGTCAAACTGCGAGAATTTCCAAGCCAGCTTCCCTTGTTTGTTTACGTTCTGAGGAAATGTTACTACGAACGCCACTCAGGATCCCTCGGATACTAGTCACTACGCACCACACACATATATTTTAACCATTTACGACACAAAATTTGTACGTTTCGTATATAAATAAATAAATAAATAAATATATATATATATATATATATATATATATATATATATATATATATATATATATATATATATATATATATATATATATATATATATATATATTATTGGTTAATATTAAAACCACAATATAATGCTATTAACAGTTAAAATCATCTACTTAACAAGCATATAGTTATTAAATGACGTTGAGTGATGTGGACTAATCCGGGCCTCATAAGAACGACTCCCGCCAGCGTTAACACTACCCATCGGGACCACAAACATGATCGAACGCACAAAACACCAGAAAAACGTGGGGGCTAGCTGGAGCGTCATGGCGTCTGGTGGAGGTTCGCGCAGCGTCTCTCCTGCAAATATTGACGATACCTTTGAGGACACTGGGGAACCACTGTTGCATACCACACATTTAGATCATGAACATCACCCGGTCTTAGAAGAGGATCTAGATGGAGATTTCATAGACAGCAAACAGATTGGAGGCGAAACGCCGCCACACTTACAGAGGTAAACAGAGACCATGCCGGCACCACGCGGCCTCAGTATCAACCTCCACAGCTCAACCAAGGTAGGCCAAGTTCTTCTGATTTGTAAACTTTCATCATTGCCTTTGATGGCGAAGAGGAAAATGTGTTCAGAAATAGCCGAGCACAAAGTATCTTATATAATGCCATTCCCAAGATATTCGGGATCAACGTGCACAATATGAGATCAAATAAACAGAAAAACCTGATCGCAGTGGACCACAAACATGGCGAAGAACTAAAGCTTTCAGACATTACTGACATTTGTGGCCATAAAGTCAAGTGCTATAAACCACTAGGGGACCGATTAACAAAATATGTAATCCGACATGTGGTAGACATCAGTGTAGATGATATCAAAGCACAACTTGAGACACATGACATCCCGATCCATGGAATCAAAAATTTATGCGAAGAACAAACGGAGAACTGAGTGATACAGGCACTGCTCTGCTTACCTTTCTAGACTACATCCCCCCTGAGAGGATTTGGTTAAATGGCTTCCTCCATAAACTAGAGGTGTATATACCACGTCCCACTCAGTGTTTTAAATGTAAAGGTTATAACCATACCTGGAAAGGCTGCACCAAAGATATTAAATGTGGGAAATGCTCTGGTTCCCATTACACGCAAGATTGTACATCAGATACACTTACCTGCTCAAACTGTGGTGGCGATCACGACATTACATTCAAACAATGTCCCTCATACATAGCAGCAGCAGCAAAAACTAAGGTTCTCCCTACCAACAACCTGCTATACAGTAGTGCACTGAAACAACCTAACACAGCCCATCATCAAACACAGCCTTTGCTTGTACCTGATATATCTGTCACCGACACTCCCACAACCCTAGGGTCCAACCATCCCTCACAAAATGCACAACTGAATCCTGATCTTGTTGAAACTCTTGTCACTCGCATTGAAAATGAACTTGTTGAAACTTTTGTCACACGCATTGAAAATGCACTAGAAAAGACGCTGGACCGACTGCTAACTAAATTCTTTACACAAGTAACACAACCCACCCCTGAGGCTGACCCAAAAGACATCCCATCAACAGCTACAGACACTGACATCCGCCCAAACAAAGCCACCATTGCTGGACACACATTGTTTGAACAGATGATAGAAAAACTCATAAATAACTCCCTAGTACGCTTTACCAAAATCATTCCACAGGCTGACTTGCCACAAACCCAAACCGCCAGTACCAAGAGTAAGGCACAGCCCACATCCACATCTAGGTATCCAACACGTACTACTACTGGCATGCCAAGGAAAACAGACACATCCATAACCCACACATCCTAAATGGCTCCCCTAACATTCATGACTTGGAACGCAAAAAGCATTAAAACATCTCTCACAGAACTTAAACAATTCCTTTACTCATCCAAACCGGACTTAGCTTTCATAACCGAATCCTGGCTCACCCCTAAACAAAATCCTATTTTTAAAAACTTTCAGATGCAGAGACTGGACAGACCAAACCGTATGGGTGGTGGTATTTTCCTCCTAACACAGAGTAACATGTCATGTAAACATGTAACGCTTACACATGTTGTAAATGGTAAACTAGAAATTTTAGCATGCCTAATACCCTACAATGGTACAAACATATCTTTTCTGGGTATATACAACCCTGGTGGCACAATAAATTTAAATGAACTAGAATTCTATCTAAACTAATTACGGCACCCGATCATTGTTACAGGTGATCTCAATACAAACCACCCCACATGGAGTAGAGGTACCCAGAATACTGCAGGCACCGATTTATATAACTACTTAGACATTACACCATATATTCTTCTTTCGCCGCCCTACCTTGCAACCTACTTTAACTACAGAACCAATTATGAAGCCTCACTGGACATCTGCTTTGGCTCTGCACACTTGCAACAAGAACTACAGTTTCATTCTGGACCAGATATTGGTAGTGACCACAAACCCCTCATTATAAAATTTACTAACTTTCAGCCACCAACCCACCCCCTAACGCTCCCCAAGTGGAACATTAAGAAACTAGATAAGAAAAAATGGGCTGATACTGTCTGTCTCCCAGATACAGACGATGTAGACCCCAACACGCGACTGTCCACAATCACCTCGGCCATAAATTCTGCAGCAACCCAAATGTTCAAGAAAACTTCAGGACATAGGTCCAACAAACCACTTAAGCCGTGGTGGAACGCGGAATGTGCACGAACAGTCGCTTTACGCCGACGAGCCATACAAAAACAAAGACGTCAACCCTCCCTACAGAACTGGGTTAATCTCCGGCGGGCTACAGCAGAAGCAAAAAAAACCATACTGTCAGCAAAGCGAGCATCATGGGCAAAATTTTGTGATAGCCTCACACCCACTACGCCACATTCAAAAGTCTGGGCTACATTTAACAGCATTAAAGGTCGCCCAACATTCCCTTCGTTCCCCCTGATGATCAACGGTTCACTCTGTCAAACACCTCAGGAGCGTGCAAATGTTCTTGCTGAATGTCTTAAAGTTACCCTCTCAACACCCTTCTTTCATGCCCAAGAACTCCTCCTCAGACAAGAAATTGACCGTGCCATACTGCTACCCATGCCTGGCGTCGACAACATATACACCTTAAGCGAGCTACAATTAGCCTTAACCCGCCTACCTCTTGGCAAGGCACCTGGAGAGGATGGAATTCCATATGAACTCATTAAACATCTTCCATCAACTGCACATAGTACTCTCCTAAACTATTACAACCTATGCTGGACTCACGGAAATATTCCCTCACAATGGCAGACCAGTATTATTCTTCCGTTCCTTAAACCAGGAAAAGACCCATCCCAACCTGCGTCATATAGACCTATTTCCCTACTATCATGTCTCAGTAAAGTCATGGAAAGACTAGTACATACTCGCCTCCAATGGTACCTAGAATATAATAATATTATACCGTCACTCCAAGCTGGATTTCGACCGCAATGCTCCACACTCGATCAAATTCTTTGCCTTGAACATGAAATCCGCACCTCCCTCAGAAGCAGCAAATTTTGTATTGTTCTCTACTTAGACCTCAAAGGAGCTTTTGATAGCATTCCTCATACTTGCCTCCTCGCAAAGCTTGCGCATTTATTCGTACAGGGAAGATTACTTTTATGGTTAAAATCCTATCTTACGAACAGGACCCCTAAAGTCTATATACAAGGCGAGTTTTCCGATGACATCCCAATACAAACGGGTGTCCCACAAGGCTCCATACTAAGCCCAACCCTTTTTGCTGCATTCTTAGCAGATTTGCCTAACACCCATCCTGTTAACCTCTCGGCGTACGCCGACGACTTAACACTGTATTATTCAGACAACGCCTTACCTAATACAGTCTCAACAATGCAAACAGCACTTGATCACCTCATAGATTGGACACAACAATGGGGCCTTCAAGTTAGTACTACCAAAACCTATTATCAAATTTTCACTAAGAAAAGACTTGTTCATCTACCCACCCTCACAATACACAACACTCCCATCCAACACGTACGAGAACATCATTTGAATAAGAATGGATAAATACCTTGGCATGCACTTAGACTCGCCCTCACTTACCTGGACAGCACACATTCAACACCTTAAACAGACGACACAACCCCGACTCGCCATACTGAAAGCCCTCACTGGCACCACCTGGGGAGCACACCATAAAATCCTGCTCCGTTTCTATACAACCTACATTCGCAGCCAACTAGACTATTGTTGCCAAGCATATGCGTCGGCTGCGCCTACTAACCTACAGAGCCTAGAGGTCATCCAAAACAATGCCATGCGACTTATATGTGGCGCAATGCGTTCCACTCCTATCCTCGGACTTTACGGGGAAACGGGCCTCACAAGCATAGCCACCAGACGAGACATAATGTGTGCCAACTATCTGTCACTCTGTACCACTGCTCACCAGACACACCCATACAGATCAAAAATTAACCCAACAGTTAACCCACATAACCCCCGCTCCCCAACCAATCACTCACAACCTTTCCTCACGCGGGCTACAAATAACCTCAATATAGACCTCTCTCTACTCCAAAACTCGGAAACCCAACTTACTGTTCCCCCTATTCCACCTTGGCTTTATACAACTCCTAATACAGCAATACAACTCGAAGACAACATTCCAAAGTCTGCACCAAACTCAGCCATAGCCTCAGTCTTTCTCTCAACAATGAAAAATTGCTACCCAAATACCACAGCGATTTATACAGATGGATCTCGCATCATCATGAACAACGTACCCTCGGTCACTAGCGCTGTATGGATACCGGAATACCATCTCAAGCAGGGATGGCGGTTACCAAACCAACTATCTGTTTTCACAGCTGAATTATATGCCTTATATCAAGCTCTCCAAATAA